TAGGTTTATTGTTTATTTGAGAGGTAATGTGTATAGAATCAGATGAATGAAGTGATTAGGGAAAAGATAAGGTAAAGGAGGTAGTGGCGGGGTCCACTAATGGTTTATTGTCTTAAAATAATTGAATTGAAATTTGTTGGATATGGTGGAATTGCCTATATATTGAGTGCTTTGTGACTTTGGTAATGACACAGAGAAGGAAAGATAAAAAGAAACACATACACATAACCGAGATGCACAGATAGAGGGCCGAAATTTGTGGCTTTGATGACTCAGCGAGGATAATTCTTTTCTTTATATCTTGAATTGTTTGGGGGTGATTTTATCTCACATATTTTGTGATTGTTATTTTACTTAGAATGTATATATGTATTTTTGTTTAAAAAAATATCTATATTTTGTAAAGCTAATTTTCATGAAACCTCCTTGAAATTTAAATTCTTGTATTTTTGTTTAAAAGCATATCTATATTTTGAAATTCTTGTATTTTTGTTTAAAAGTATATCTATATTTTGTAAAGCTAATTTTTATGAAACCTTCTTGAAATTCTTGTTATGGTTTTTCTTACTGGGACTTTCCGTCCCACCACCCTCTAGTTTTTAGGTACCGAAAATGAACATGGATTACTAGTTTCGAACTTAGGTGGAAGAGTTGGTGTTGTGGATTTATTTTTATTTATTTAGAAATTTTATATATTTAATTGAGGAATTGTATCCTTCTATCAATAAAGGATATTTTTTTTATGATCCTAAAAGTATATCGATGTATTTGTAATTTGAAAGAATTGATGATTTTTATTAGAATTTTCGAGTTTTTGCATGATGATATCATAGATTTTTTTGGATAGAATTAGATGACTAAAGTGAGGTGATGTGTATAAAATTAGATGAGTGAAGTGATTTTAATTTTAAATATAAATTAAAAATAAAAATCTGAATTGCCACATTCACCTCCACAAAAATAAAAAACTAAGTCATCATTAGTTTTCTTTACTTTCCTTATCCTTATTCACAAATATCCATCCACATCATAAAACAAAACCACGTGAATAAAACCAAAGCCCAAAGAAGTCTGGCCAAACTGTAATACCCCTAATTTAAAAAGGATAGGTTTGGAATTTATTTTATTGTTTAAATTATATTTTTATTTATTTAATTATGAATTGGTTTGTTTTAATTGAAAATTTATTTAAATTTCATTATGAGTTTATTGGGTTTTATGTTTATACCTTGTTTTAGTTTAATTGTTTTCATGGTTGTGTTTTGATTGCATTTAGTTATTTTTTTTTTAATTAGGATTAAATGCTTTACTTGATTTAATTTAACTGTTTAATTGATTTAATCTAATTTAATAAAATGGTTTGATTAATTTAATTTAAGTGGTAATTATTTTAATTTAATTGTATTTTTAAATAGGGTTTTGTTTTAAAAGTCAGTTGTTGCCGACGTAGATTTTATTAGGTTTCTTTGGGTCGGGGAGGATTTTTAGCAGGTTTGGAATTAATCTAGGGTTTAGTAAAACCCTATAAATATATGTGAGATGTCTGTATAGGGTTTTAGAAAACAAACAAAACCCTATTCACGTCTCTAGAGATAGAGAAGCAACATAGTAGTTTTGCAGTGGGAATCGTCGGAAAGCTTTAGAGACGGCATAGAGATTTTGAACAAAGATCTCAAAGGCAAGTTCTAACCTTACTCTCTCCCTTATACTCGTGTTCTTTGCATATTAAATTGGTTCCAGGTTTATTATATGATTTTAAAACAAAAATAGATAGGCTATCTGTTATTAGGACGCAAACTGTTAGTCCTAGGTTTGGTTTGATAAATTGTTAAAGCTTGGAACTGATCTTGCATTGTGCTTGGTTAAATCCATATTAGAAAGTATAATCAAGGCTTAAACCAACATTAGAATTTACGGGGAATTAATTAGAAATTTCTGGTAATCAAAACGGTGATCTGTAGAGGGATGTAAACGTAGCCGGAGAAGAGAACACAGAGCAAATGAGGGGGAGGGCCGGCTCCTTTAGGGTTTGGAGCCGGCTCTACATGCTTGGAGGCGGCTCCAAGACACTTGGGAGCCAGCTCCAAGGCCATGGAGGCGGCTCCAAGGTTTTCCAGAGCCTGCTCCATTTGGTTATCTCCAGTTTTCCACGTTCCGTGAGGTTTTGTTCCAGTTTTCAGTGAGATGGCTTTATGGAGATTGATTTTCTAAGTTATCTAAATGGGATGGTTACTGTAATGGATGGTTTAACAAGGGTCTGGAGTGGGATTAAGTTCCAAGGTATTAAAGGTTGCACCATGATTTTTACTAGTTTTCCTACACTCCATTTTGCTTGGTCCTGAATGTATTTTCATGTTATAATTTCTTCATTATGTTAAATTTTTATTTTAGTTCAATGAAATTGATGAGTAATGATTTTTAATTAACTCTATATCATGTTGGAAATCAATGAAATTAATTTTAGTTACAAGGTTGATGTGTTAAAACAGTTGGAGTTTGGGATTGCATAAACTGCTAGTATTAAATTCTTGTGCAAAGTTTATGTTTTAATTAATTTTGGTAACTGAGCAATGAATTTAGTGGACTCTGGAATTAGTTGGAATCTAATTTAAACATCTAAGACTCTTAGGATTGAAACACAGTTTAACAGGAACTCACCGGAGTTGGAAACAGAAGAACAGAGAGGAAACGGCTTAAGTTTTCAAAGAGACGACTCATAGAAGCAAAAAGAGCAGGCTCTTTGCAACCAAAGAGCAGGCTCCAACCAAAGAAAGAGCAGGCTCTTTCATTTGAAAGAGCAGGCTCTTTCCCGAACTTCTAGTGTGACGTATTCTGTGACTTGTTTGGCTACGGAACTCGGATTTTGGATTTTTCAGAAGCTGTAGGAAGCTATACTTGGGTGTTTTGAGATGTTCTAAGTCTAATTAACACTTGTGAGAGTGGATTAAAGTTTAATAAACCAGTATGTGTTTATAGCTTAGACATTAGTAAGCATCGACGAAAGTTGTTCATTGTAGTGCAGAGGAATTATACTTCTACTGAATTTAATTTATATTCTCTGTGGATGGAAAATGGATTAATATGATGCTATTAATAGTGACAAGCATGGTAATTAATATAGTTAAGGTTATTGTACTTGTCATGGATTCGTGGACGAGAAGGATAAATTATCTGCATGCTCAGTAATATGATAATTTATAATGGGGATATGGGATGAATATGATAACTTATATATTTATTTTATGTTCATCATGGTATTAATTGATATGTCTTATGGTTTTGGTTTGTCAATTACTGGAGTAGGCATGCTAGTCTATATCTTTATTTATGCTTATTACGATTCAGTTGCTATGTGCATTGTTTATGTATGGTATCAACTGTTGGATGGATTGGATTGTATGTACCGGTATGGGACGGTGACATACTAGGTTTGGACAGTACAAGTTGCTAAGTTCTACCTATTTGGAATGAGGGTACGGGTTATTAAATAAATCCTCCTTATATGTATGTAAGTCGGTGCGGTTGACTACGCCGAACGACTTAATGGATTTCTTGTGGATGGATGGAATTGGAGTTTAAATATATTTTATGGTACCGTGACATGAGCTTGAGTCTCAGAGTCAATGGTTAGGATGCGTATATGCAGTTGGATGTGTAGCTGACTGTGGGGATTGAGGTATACCCTGTTTAGGCTTAGGTACTCATACCCACTCAGGTGCGATTTGTGTGATGCCTTCTATTCAGGTTGAGACCCTCTTCATGGTCTAGCGAGAGTCCAGTAGTGTGGATATATATTTATGTACGGACTATTAGCTATTGTTGAACTATTTAGTATGTACATGCGTATCGGGTCTCTGCTTGGATTGCAGTAGCATAGAACTTGTTCGTGGGCCTGACCCACTCCTATTTTACAGGTGTACGTCAGTTCTAGGCTTGAGCTTGTTCGTGTGGAGCAGAGACGGTTACTCATTCTTCCGACGATGTAGGATCTCTTTCCAGATGTTCGACTTGGATTTTATCTTCAGTTTTACTTTGATTCAGTTTGGGATTTTTATATTAGGGGTCCACTAGAGATGGATTCCCGAGTTGTTAAAAGATTGGAGATTTTGGATTGTAGGATTTGGAGTTATTAATATTTTAAGATTTTTATATTGAGGATTTCTTTTAAAGTATCTTTCCGCTTATTCTTTTATTTCTTAAATCATTTTTTTTGTAATCGGTGTTCATTTAAAATACTTTAATTGTTTAATATTCCCTCGAGTTTGGGCCTGAGCCTGATCAACCCGTGTCTCGGATCCGAGGGGTATCACACAAACAGTCTCCCAGTGAGTCCCACTAATACCATTACAATTTTTTATTTTTTTTTAATTTTTTTTTTTCGGCCAGCCTTACTGCTACTTTCTTCTTTCCATCAGATGTACAAATGACCTCCACCACTTGTCTTCTTATAAAATAATAACTAAACACCATTAAAATAAGGATTTACAAATCCAACAAATTAAGACCCAACATCAATAATAATTAATCTTTAACAATTAGAAATGATAAAATAAATATAAATTAAAATTTTAAAAATTTGAATTATCACATTCTTCATCACATAAAAAAAATTTCGTCCCAAAATTCAGATCCAATAGTTTTCGCATACCTGAAAACATCAACAATCATAAAACAAAATCCATAAATCTTTACCCTAAACGATGTAAGATACCGCGACATGCAAAACGTTTTGGTAGCAGATAGTGCTAGTCATCTGCCCACACACTCCGTAATCGCTGTGGTAGCTAGCTGATGCCTTCACCCACCCACAAAATAAAACCAATAATAAACCGGGCAACATGCCCAATCACTATAACTAACCATACCAGTAGCTGCCAGTGAACGATATCTGTCCACACACAACTAGCTACGAGTGATAGCTAGCTGGCACTAAACATTCGCCCACTCACACTCGTCTACATCATCACTACACTCACACTTCTGGCTAGATCAGGCAATGATACCATTCAGTAACGACCCAAAAATTTTAATAAAATTCTTCAATCTCATTAAATTTCAAATACATCAGTGTTCTCCCAAGATCATAAAAAGGAATACCCCTTTTATTGATACAAAAATCAATTTTCTCAAATAAATATACAAAATCTCTAAATAAATAAAATAAATCCGCAACACCAACTCTTCCACTTAAACTCGAAACTAACAATCCACATTCATCCTTAGTACCTGAAACTAGAGGGTGGTGAGACTGGAAGTCCTAATAAGAAAAACCATAACAAGAATTTCAAGAAGGTTTAATGAAAATTAGCTTCACAAAATATAGATATGCTTTTAAACAAAAATACATATATGCAATTTGAGCAAAATAACAGTTATAAAATATTTGAGATAAAATCATCCCAAGCAATTCAAGGTATAAAGAACCCTACACTGAAAAAAAAAATTATCCTCACTGAGTCATCAAAGCCACAAGTCTCGGCCCTCTTTATGTTCATCTCGGTTTTCTGTGTATGTTTCCTTTATCTTTCCTTATTTGTGTCATTACGAAAGTCACAAAACACTCAATATATAGACAATTCCACCAACATCCAACAAATATCAATTCAATTATTTTAAGACAATAAACCATTAGTGGATCCGCCACTACCTCCTTTACCTTATCTTTTTTCCTTATCACTTCATTCATTTGATTCTATACACATTACCGTCACGTGCATAATAGCCAAAGCCAAAAGAGTTTTGGCAAAATATCTCTTAGTGGGCCCCGCCCAATCAAATACCTTTTCTCTTCACTTTCGGCAACCTGCTCTCATTCCTTCTTATCTCCATCAGACGATATATATATATATATATATATATATATATATATATATATATAGTTTAAGGAGTTTGATTTGATTTTGTTGCATATATATACAACAATGTATATATATGCAACAAAACCAAATCAAACTCCTTAAATATCTCCTAGTAATAATGTATTTGCTAAAATAAGCCAAGATTTTAATTTATATTTATTTTTATCATTTTCAATTATCAAGATTAATTATTAGTGATGTTGAATCTTGATTTACTGAATTTGTAAATCTTTATTTTTATGAAAATTTGGACTGAAGGTGGTTTAATTTTTGTGGAAGTGTATAGTTCATATGAAATTTGTGGAAGTGCATAGTTCATATTATATATAGTATTGTGATGGTGACGCTTGCTGCCAGCTGAAAAGGGGAAAATAAAAAGAAATAGTAAGAATTTTTGTGAGGTCCATTAAGAAATATTTAAGGAGTTTGATTTTGTTTTGTTGCATATATATACAACAATATATATATGGGCTTAAGTGTGTTAGACATAGATATGTCACAGACATATATATGTCAGTGGGAGTATAGTTTACATACAATTTGGTTTTGTTACAGTACATATTATATATATATATAGTTAAAAGAAGTTTTGATCAAAAATCTCCTAGTGGGACCCGCCACCATCATCATGTATATAAATATATATATATATATAATGCTAATGGAATGATAGATAGAGGTGAAAAGAAAAAATAAAGAGTAGGCTGACTAAAAGTAGAAATAATGATAAATTGTGATGATTGTGGCGGGACTCACTAGAAGATTTTTGGTCAAAAATTCTTTTAACTTTGGCATTCATTTGGGTTTATATGGAGAGATATTTATTTATTAAGTAATAATGATGGATTATGGAAGATAAGGAAGAGTAAAGAAAGGGTGGTGGAAGGAGTTGATTTTTTTTGGTTCATAATGAAATGATATTGTTTGATGGAGGCGTGAGCTATAAGATATGTTGTGTCGGTGGAATGCCCTTTATATATTAATCTGTTTTGTGACTTTGGTGGATACAAAAGAGAAAAATAGAGGAAAGACACATGGGAGTGAGCACAGATGGAGTCGAGATGGACAAAGGAGGCCGAGACTTGGAGACTTTGATCACTGAGTTTCTCAAATAAATATACAAAATTTTTAAATAAATAAAATAAATTTACAACACTTACTCTTCCACCTAAGCTCGAAACTAGCAATCCACGTTCATTTTCGGTACCTAAAATTGAAACTAAAAAATGATGAGACAAGAAGTTTTAATAAGAAAAATCATAACAAAAATTTTAAGAAAATTTCATGAAATGCAATTTGAACAAAATAACTGTAATAAAATATTTAAAATAAAATCACGCCAAGCAATTCATAAAGAACCTTACCTAAAAATGAATTATCGAATCATCAAAACCACAAGTCTCGGCCCTCTCTTTCTCTCTCCGTGCATCAAGGCTCTCTGTATCTTTCCTCAATTTTTCCTTCTTTCTCCGTATACTTCCCATAGTCACAAAGCACTCAATATATAGGCAATTCCACGACACCCAACAACCATCAATCCAATTACTCAAGACAATAACCGGTAGTGGACCCCGCCGCTACCTACCTCCTTTTCATTATTATTGGTTTTTTGAATTAGATGAATGATGAATGAAGGCGATAAAAAGACAGTGGCGAGTACACTATTGATATTTTTACCTCTCATATTTTATATTAGTATGGTGAGCTGTTGTGTGAAGTGTGTGATAAAAATAAATATAAAATTAAAATATTATTAAAAATGGTTCAAAATTATAAAATTTGAAATAAATCAACCGGATTGTTACATTCCAACCGTGGTCACATTCTAAACCTACATATATATATATATATATATATATATATTTTAATACAAAATCACTATTAATATTTCTATTTTTATTTTATTTTTAGTACTTACTTTTTATTGTTATAATTAATTATATTAATAAATATTAAATTTAAAAAATAGAAATATTAATATATATATATATATATATATATATATTTTTAATACAAAATCACTATTAATATTTCTATTTTTTAAATTTAATATTTATTAATATAATTAATTATAACAATAAAAAGTAAGTACTAAAAATAAAATAAAAATAGAAATCTCTTTACCTCTCAAAATCACGTCTCACTACTAATTGAAATTTTTTTTCTTTTTTAAAAAAATTTGTAAGTGTTAAAAAATTACATTTATGACTTGATACTAAAGCTGACATTGCCTATTTATCTGAGTGTGAAAAAAAAATTAAAAATTACACTATTGACATACAAAACAATGAAATATCAACTAAAAAATAATAAAAAAAATTAAATATTAAATCTCTATTTTTCTATCTACTTGATCAACTTAAAGTAATATGTGATTTGTACAACACTTCACCTATAAAAAATTTAATAGATTACAATTTAAATTATTATATACCTCCCTAAATGCATGCTATTTAAAAATTAGAAATTCAATCTATTTTTCTCTAACTCTCACAAATTGTCTCATCTTTCTTATTAATTTTGTTTTATTTTATTCCAGATTACAAATAGTTGTAAATACATTTCAATTACTTTTAAACAAAAAATGATAAAAAAAAAAAAATACTTTAAGACAATAAACCATTAGTGGACCAGCACCATCTCCTTTTCCTTATCTTTTCTCTTATCACTTTATTCGTATGATTCTATACACGTTACCGTCACATACATAATAGCCAAAATCAAAAGAGTTTTGGCAAAATATCTCTTAATGGGCCCCGCCCAATCAATACCTTTTCTCTCCACTTTGGGCAACCTGCTCATATTCCTTCTTATCTCCATCAAAAGTTTAAACTATATATATATATAGTTTAAGGAGTTGATATATTTGTTAAAATAAGCTAATATTTTAATTTATATTTATTTTTATCATTTTTAATTGTCAAGATTAATCATTAGTGATGTTGGTCTTGATTTGTTGGATTTGAAAATCTTTATTTTTATGAAAATTTGGACCGAAGGTGGTTTGATTTTTGTGGAAGTGTATAGTTCATATGAAAATTTGGACTGAAGGTGATTTAATTTTTGTGGATGTGTATAGTTCATATATATATATATATATATATATATAGTATTTGTGATGGTGATGTTTGCTGCTAGCCGAGCCGAAAGGGGGAAAAGAAGAAGAATTAGTGAGGATTTTTGTGAGGTCCATTAGGAGATATTTAAGGAGTTTGATTTGGTTTTGTTGCCTATATACATATATATCATATATATATATATATATATATATATATAGTTTGATGGATATAAGAAGGAATGAGAGCAGGTTGCCGAAAGTGAAGAGAAAAGGTATTGAGGGCGGAACCCATTAAGAGATATTTTGCCAAAACTCTTTTGAGTTTGACTATTATGCACGTAGCTTTATTATTTATTTAAGAGGTAATGCGTATAGAATCAGATGACTGAAGTCATAAGAAAAGTGATGAGGTAAAAATCTATATATATATTGTGAAGCTAATTTTTATGAAACCTCATTTTTTTGTTATGATTTTTCCCACTGATTTACATATATATATATATGTAAGTGTTTTATGCACTGAGTGAGAATTTAGAGCGAGAGAGAGAGAGATAGATAGAGGACACACAAAATCGAGAAGGACAGAGAGAACCGAGAGTTCCCAGAGACTTTTCCTTATCCTTATCTTTATTTTGAACAAAATATCAATGGATTCGCCACCCATTTTTTCATTACTTTAATTTTTCGTTATCACCCACGTGCATAATAATTAAAATCAAAAGTTTAAAATTAACGTGCATGATAGGTAAAGTCAAAAAAAATTTGGCAAAAAATTTCCTAATGAACATAAATGGACAGGGAGAAAATTTTTAATAGTTGTGTATATATATATTTTTGTATAAATATTATGTGTCATAATAAATTTAATTATTTATTTTTAACTTTAACTGTTATTTTATACCTTTTATATAAAAATTTAACCTTAATAACAAGTAACCATTATTATGTTAATTTTTATAAACTTAAAGTTGATTTGTTAATAGAATGAGAAATGAGGAAGAGAAAAGAAATATACTTGTGGTTGTGTAAAAAAATTATATAAAATATATAATAATTTTATACATTAGTAATTTAGTAGTGTATCTTAACGGATTGAAAAAAAAAAAGAAAAAAAAAAAAGAAAACAATTTACACAGCTCGATATGCTTGTTGGTTAGTTTATATAGGACAAATGAATGGAGATAAAGACGGAAAATGTGAAAGAAAGAAAATTTGTGAAGATGGTGCGGTCCCACTGGGAGATATTTTTATGGCCAAAAAACTTTGGGCTTATTCACGTGGGGTGGTTTGATGTTTTGAGAGAGATATTGTACTTGGTTGTGATGGAAGAGGATAAGGAAATGAAGAGTAAGAAGGAAAGGGTGGCGGAACCCGGTGGATACTTTGTTCAAAAATGAGATGATATTGTTTGTGTCGGTGGAATTACCTTTATATATTTGTATCTGATTTGTGATTTTGGTGAGGAAACAGATAAAGAATTACTTTTTTTTAATTGAATTTGAATTTTGGGAATGAAATTTTTTTTTACGTAGTGAAGGATGTGATAACCTAAATTTTTAAAATTTTAATTTATATTTATTTTTACTATTTTTTATTGTCAAAATTGATTATCAGAGATATTGGGTGTTAGGCGGCGAAATTCAATAATGGGTTTTAGTGTGTTAGATATAGATATAAGATTTGGTTTTGTTATCTTCCTTATCTTCTATCATCACTTAACAAATAAATATTTATTCAAAAAATACAAACCCACGTGAAAATGATGGAAAGAAGGAATAAGGAGTGGCTGGCCGAAAGTAGAAAGAAAAGAGAAAAGAAATAATGATAAATTGTGATGATTGTGGGGGTGCCACTATTCAAAAATTCTTTTAGCTTTGACATTCACGTGGGTTGGTATGTCTTGGATAAATATTTATTTGTTAGGTGATGATGGAAGATAGGGAAGAGCAAAGAAAGGGTGGCGGGATCTAATTGATTTTTTATTTATTTTATTATTATTTTTCTTTTTCAAAATTAGATGATATTGTTTGATGGAGGGGTGAGCAGTAACGTAGATTGTGTTGATGGAATTGCCTTTATACATTTATCTGTTTTGTGACTTTGGTGGATACAGAAGAGAAAGATAAACGAAAGACAGGGGAGTGAGCACGGATGGAGTCGAGATGGACAGAGGAGGCAAAGACTTGGAGACTTTGATCCAGTGAGTTTCTCAAATGAATATACAAAATTTTTAAATAAATAAAATAAATCTGTAACACCAACTTTTTTATCTGAGTCTGAAATTAGTAATTCACATTTATTCTCAGCACTTAAAAACTGGAGAGTGGTGAGATGGGAAGTCTAGTAAAAAAAATTATAAGAATTTTAAGAAGGTTTTATAAAAACTAGTTTCACAAAATATAGATATGTTTTTAAATAAAAATACATATATGTAATTTGAGTAAAATAACAGTTATAAAATATTTGCGATAAAATTATCCAAACAATTCAAGGTATAAAAAATTTTACCTGAAAAAGAATTATCCTCACTAAAACTTCAAAGCCACAAGTCTCGGCACTCTCTCTGTGCATCTCGGCTCTCAGTATCTTTCCTCAATTTTTCTTTCTTCCTTTGTATACTTACCATAGTCGCAAGGCACTCAATATATAGGCAAATAACCATTAGTGGACCCCGCCACTACGTCCTTTTCCTTATTATTATTTTTTAATCAGCTGAATGAAGGCGATAATAATATTTTAATCTTTAATAGTATTTTATATTAGTATGATGAGCTGTTGTGTGAAGTGTGTCGGTATATGTTACTTATATGTATTGGTATCTATTTACCGTTCTTGAAAATTAAAATGATGAAAATAAATATGAAATTAAAATGTAATTAAAAATGGTTCAAAATTACAGAATGGTATTTGAATTGAGGAATTTCAAATACACTATGTAATTTGAAATAAATCAGCCGGGTTGTCACATCCCGACTCTGGTTACATTCTAAACTCACCTATATACTTTCATTTTAATATAAAATTATTATCACTATTTTTAGTTTCCAAATTATTTACCAATACAATTAATTATAATAATAAAAAGTAAGTATTAAAATAATAATAATAATAATAATTTCTTCACCTCTCGAACGCACATCTCACTACTAATTAGAATTTTTTTTTCTTTAAAAAAAATTTGTAAGTGTCAGAAAATTACATTTATGACTTGATATTAAAGTTGACATTGACTATTTGTTTGAATGAAATAATTAAAAATTACATTATTAACATATAAAATAATGAAACATTGACTAAAAAAAATAAAAAATGAAAAATAAAATATCTATTTTTTTATCCACTTAATCAACTTAAAGTAATCTGTGATTTGCACAACACTTCACCCATAAAAAATTTAATAGATTACAATTTAAATTATTATATATCTCCCTAAATGCATGCTATTTAAAAATTAGAAATTCAATCTATTTTTCTCAGACTCTTTGTCACAAATTGTCTCATTAATTTTGTTTTATTTTAATAAGTTGCACAGTATTTTTTTTTTCTAGTTCTACTATAATGAAAAAAAATTATTGAAGTAATGAGGAGATTCATGACAAAACATGTTATTATTCTATAAAATTTCATATTTTCTTTGTAAATTAGTTGTTTTTCTTAGTGTTTTCTTTATGGCCGAATTGCAAAAACTCCCCTTGACTATCACTCACTTGTAAAAAAACCTCTTTATGAATACTTTTAGCAAGAAATCCCCTCAACTATACTGAGGGGGTATTTTAACTTAACACCGTGTATGATTTTTTGAGACAATTTTTTGGGGCAAATTACGGCTGTGGATTGGGTCATTGTTCAATCTTTCATTAAATCTGATGAATATGAAATTCAGTCAAACTCAAATTTTCTAAAGATTTTCATCTCTAACAAGACTAAAATTTTGTGCTACTTTATTTCTAAACTATTATTAGGGGGTGTTTGGGAATGAGATCAGAAAGAACACAAAAGATGGTGATGGTAATGAGAAGTGCAATGATCAGAGATGCACATGCCAAACCACCACTGTAAACTCCTTTTTTTCATCCTTTCTGGTGTTTTTGTTTTTCTTCCTCCCTCCCCCACTTGTGTCCGATCACACTCATATTTATGCAAAAGTTTCTCCAAAAATGTTTGTCGACATATTTTTCAAACTTTTATTTATGCGGGCATAACACAATGCCTTGTCACTTACATTAGGTACGTATTCATAACATAATCAATTTTATATGGCTAGAGCGCATATATATATATATATATATATAGTTATTTAAATTAAAAGTTTTTAAAAATGTTTGTCAGTAAGTTGCCGGTGCTGCACTCAACACGATGCCACTTGTCATCCTTCTCCTTCTTGTCGTTGCTCCTCTCTCCACTGATCTGGAGGACCTTGCCTTCTTCGACCTCCACCTTCACCTCCTCCTTCAGCCCAGGAAGGTCCGCCTTGAACACGTGTGCCTCCGGAGTCTCCTTCCAGTCGATCTGAGTGTTCGCAAACATAGTGGTTTTGTTCATTGGGACGGAGAGAGAGGGTGCCGAAAAATGGGAAGTCCTGAAAAGATCCCATAGGTCGAGAGAGAATGGATCAAAGGTACTGTTGCTGCATCGGTTACCGAAGAAGCTATTGGGAATGAACGACATATTGGAGATTTCAGAAATTGGTAGAGAGAGAGGAGAGACTTTTAGAGTGAGCTCCGTGTCCGATCACACTCATATTTTTGCAAAACATTTTTTGGATAAACTTTTCCCTTCTCCCTCCCCCGCAGGGTGCGAATCACCTGCAGTGAGGCTCTCATACAGTTTTCTGTTGTAACTTTTAAGTAATCCATATTTAGTCACATTATTCTTCAGTTGACGGACACTAAGGCGGTGTTTGGCCAATTACATCACTATTTATAAATAACATTTCACCACCATTTATAAGTAACATCACATAATCTAAAAAGTAATATCACATGTAAACATAACTCAATTTAACATATCATTTATGTTATTATTTGAAATTAAAAGTGGTGATATTTCCTTTTATAAATGGTAATGTTACTTTTTATACTCTGTGATATTACTTATAAATGGTGGTGAAATGTAAAAATAGTATAAAAAGTAACATCACTACCATTTATAAGTAACATTACAGAAGTCTAAAAATAATATGACATAGTCTAAAAAGTAACATCACTACGTTTTGAGGGTGAAATATATTTATAAATGGTGGTGACGTTACTTTTTAGACTATATGATATTACTTTTAGACTTTTGTAACGTTACTTAAAAATGGTAGTGAAATGTTACTTATAAATAGTGGTGTAATTGCCAAACACAGTGTTAGTGTCTATTAAGTGGAGTAAAACGTGGCCAAACCAAGGTCACTTACTGCTCATTGTAGGAAATAACATGGGAATTGCACAGCAGGTGATTTGCGCTCTCCCCCACAAGTGTCCATCCAATTATGTTTTCCAAAAAAAAAAAAAAAAATCCAACATTGAAAAATACTTTTGGAGAAACTTTTAGCAAGTTATTTTTATTTGTATTGCTACAATAGTTTAGAAATCAAGAAGCACAAAATTTTAGTATTGTTTGGGTAGATGAAAAAAGTCAAAAAATTTGGGTTTGAAATTTCGTATTCATCGGATTTAATAGAAGACTGAACAATGATCTAATTCACAATGTTGAGGGGTAATTTGGTCTAAAAATTTGGTTCAAAAAATTATTATACGGTGTTAAGTTAAAATATCCCTCAGTATAGTGAAGGGGGAATTCTTGTTAAAAATATTTATAAAGGAAATTTTTTTGTTAGTGGGGATTTTTTTACCATTCACCCTTTCTTTAATATTGCTATTATTACACTATCATCATATCCAACTGAAAAACTTTATTCGCATTGAACCCTAGATAAAAGATATTTCTAGTGCATTGCTCTTGTGAAGAAAGTGCGATGTAAGCATGTGTTGTCAAAAGAGTGAAAAATATAAAATCCAGGGTTTAAAAAGGGTAAAATTAGGCTAACCTTTTGGTGAGGGCTGTAGGTTATTATATTTTTGACTTTCTCTAAATTTGTTGGTCGAAAATGATTATGAAAAATTAATAATGTTTTTCTATTATAATAATATTTTATATTTTATTTTATACAAAATAAAATTCAATTATCAGATTTGTCATAAAGAAAATACAATTTGAAATTCTTTTATGTTTGGAAAATTTTGACTGCTCAAACGCAACAAATTCTATTTAGATTATAAAATTTTAAATTGTGATATAAATAATTCTGATTCTATCTCGAATTTCAGGTTGAACCTGAATATAAAATACAGATAAAATAAATTGACTGTGATAATATGTGATCGAAACATATCCACTTTCACTATATTAAGCAATTTTGGAATATCCATAAACATGTTCATAAGACCCAACTTTGACTCAAAGTCCCAAAAACACCTTTACACTACAACATGATTTAAACTCGGAATTTACATGGAATTTCTCCAGGCTCTAATAGAAAATAATATTTTACGGTACATAAACTTCTATAACAAACTAAACTCTGAGAGAAACAAACAATATTGTTCTGTTCATTACCGACAAACAATGTGATATTACCAATGTTAAATTTACATACGATTTATAGTTATTATTATTATTTTTTAATCCAAGCTACTAAGTAATATACTGCTACCCACACAATGTTCGTCTCATCCAGTCATGCATTTCAGACTTGACTAATTTAATTACATTGAATACAACAGATACCCAATTAAAGAAAAGCGACAGCTTGTATTTTCAAGTAAGATACAGTAAAGCAATTCTTTTCTTTGTATGTATGAACAGTGACGATCTAATCACAATGAAACAATTTTACCGTCGGACTAAGATTCATCCTCTATCACAAACCCGTAACGATCAAGTCATAATGAAACAACTTTACCATTGATCAAGATCCGCCATCTATTACAAACTCGTAACGATCAAGTAACAATGAAACAACTTTACCGTTATACCAAGACCTACCCTCTATCACACACTTTTCAATTACCATATTCAAATTGTTTCACCGGCTAAAATCTCTTTAACACTGACATACTTTTGTTAACAGAGCCCACCTGTGGGAAATAATCATTTTTGCAAAGTTTTCACATGTTAAAAGACAATCTTTAGTCAAAGAATTGAACCTGAAACACCTTCTTTACTTGTTTTTCAGTTAGTCTCGTAGATGATGGCTCGAGTTGTGTCGATCTAAAGTAAAGCTGAAATGTTACAATATAAAACCAGAATGTTTTATACTAACCACTATAAAGAATTAGAACCATACAATATAAGTTCTCACTCAACATGATATTACACTATTATGCCCTTCATCATCAATATGCTCGACTGCTTGCGGATATCTCTTAAGTTTCTCTTCAACAATCTCTATAATGTCTTGCCTTAGTCGCCAAAAATAATGGAGTTTCAGCAACCTCTATAGTGCTCATTGCCTGACTTGTTTGGGCCTTTTGTACTTCCTCTACTCCTTGGCTTTTGGTAACAGCAGAGAATCCTCCATATTTGTGGGTCTTAGGCTTACTCCCATAAATTGCAGACTCAGTGGCCTCCCATGAGGTATCTTTTTCTATCAAGAACCTGGCAAGCCTCGAAGCAGACTCATACCTCTGTTTCTGCTTCCTAATTGCTTCACATAAGGGCACTCGATACCATGATTCAACTTTTAAAGAAATGAAAGTCAGTCAAAGTGGTACACATGTAAAAATTGAATTAGTAGAACTACAAGAAATATACATTTGCTATGCTGAACCAAAAAATCATTTTAAGGAATTCTATCTACTAGCGGAATAAGAAGAAGAGATGATGAATAATTTGAATTATATGATTCATATGGAGGATAGGACCTAGCCTCTATTTATACAAGACTCTATACTAAGAAAAAATAAATTTGCCAGCAATACAAAATCACTAATAACTATACAAATTTGAATTAATTCCTAGAGATCTTACCTACCACAAACTATATATGAAAAATAATTCAAATTCAAATACAAATACAAACAGCTAATAAACGGAAATACAGTTGTAATGCCTAATTAATGAAACGAATTTGCTGTAATCCCAATACTCCCCCTCAAGCTGGTGAGTATATGTCAACCATTCCCAGCTTGCTCCTTAGATCTTCAAAGAGTACCGTTGTAACTCCTTTTATGAGAATATCAGCAAATTGTTGACGAGTTGTTATGAACGGTGTAGTGATCTGTCCACTTTCAATCTTCTTTTCTATGAAGTGTCTGTCCACTTCGACATGCCTGGTCCGGTCATGTTGAACGGGGTTGTGGGCTATACTGATTGTTGCTTTATTATCACAAAATACTTTTATAGGAGATGTTGACTTTAGTTTAAGTTCCTTTAGCAACTTATGTATCCATAGAATCTCACAAATTCCCAAAGCTATAGCTCTATATTCTGCTTCTGCACTGGACCTGGCAACTAAATTCTGTTTCTTGCTCCTCCAAGTAACCAGATTGCCTCCCACGAAAGTGCAGTAATCAGTAGTAGATCTCCTATCTATGATTGAACCAGCCCAATCGGCATTTGTGTAAACTTCCATTAGGAGATGTTCAGATTTTTTAAATAGAAGACCTCTTCCTGGTGTAGCTTTTAGATACCTCAGAATTCTTTGAACAACTTCCATATGACACTCCAAGGGAGAGTGCATAAATTGACTTACCACCCCTACAGCATAAGCAATGTCTGGTCTTGTGTGGGATAAATAAATCAGTTTCCCTACTAGCCTTTGATATCTCCTCTTATCAATTGGATTATCTTCACTGTCAAGTCCCAATCTAATATTTGGATCGATTGGAGTTGTTGCTGGTTTACTTCCTAAAGATCCCATTTCCTTAAGTAAGTCAAGAATGTACTTATCGAAAAAAAAAAAAAAAAAAAAGCAAGTCAAGAATGTATTTTCTTTGAGAAACAAACATACTATCCTTTGATCTTGCCACTTCCATACCTAGGAAATATCTAAGATTTCCTAAGTCCTTAATCTCGAACTCTTTTTCCAGTTGAGCCTTCATATCTCTAATTTCTTCGACGTTGTTTCCGGTTATAATAATATCATCAATGTAGACAATAAGAACAGTGATCTTCTGATGAGGGGAATGTTTGAAGAATAGTGTATGATCTCCTTGACTCTGTGAGAAGCCACATTTCATGAGAAACTTTGAGAATCTTTCGAACCAAGCTCTAGGAGACTGCTTCAGCCTATATAAAGATTTTTTTAACCTGTAAACTTCCTCACTACTTTCATCTCCGAAACCAGGAGGTAACTCCATATAAACCCCCTCTTCTAGATTGCCATGCAAAAAAGCATTTTTCACATCAAATTGATGTAAAGGCCAATATAAGTTAATAACAAGAGAAAACAAAATTCTTACTGGGTTCATTTTGGCAACCAGAGCAAATGTCTCTTGGTAGTCTAAACCATAGGTTTGGGTGAACCCCTTGGCAACGAGTCTTGCCTTGTATCTTTCTATTGACCCATTTGATTTATACTTCATAGTGAAGACCCACTTGCAGCCTACAGGTTTCTTCCCTCTAGGCAGATTAACAATTTCCCAAGTTTCATTCTGTTGTAGAGCTTTCATTTCCTCAAG